CAGGCATATACTAGATTACTTTTGTTCTGTAAAGATAAATGCCGAATGGGATAAAGGACAAAAAGAAAAGGCTGGAAAAACACTGAACCTTAATGCCCTCATCTGAAACGCAAGCCAAACCACCAGCTTGTGCAATGTTAGATGCGCCATTGAAACAGGTACAAACTATACGGTTAAAGTCCTTGGCCAAAGGAAAACCGTCAGAATAGAGAAGCTCTTTAGGAATCGCAGTCCAACCGAGTCGAACTCCAGTGAACCCGGCATACTTGGAAAAGGAAGAAACTTCGAGCGCAACCTGCCAGGGATTAACTAAATTTATCAGATGAGCCAGATTATGTGACCAGCTTCAAAGTAACAAACAGAACTGTAAAACAAAATAATATAACTTTTTTATTGTGACTAACAAACATCTTTGCAACTGAATGAGGTCCAGGAATATCTTGAACATTGTGGTAAAAGAATGTATTATATGCACTTTCACGTTTGTAGTTCAAACTGCCGACACTAGAAAATTCTAGCCCTTTAAATACATCTTTTGCCCTAAGCAGTGGAAGATCAATAAAGCCAACAATTGACGAACGACGAAATAGAATTATAATTATTATCTCGGTATAGGAGGTATTCATACTATAAAAAAGGATAAGAGGAATGAATAATTTCCAATACTAACCTCCTTGGCCCCAGGAATTTCGAAAATGGAACGCGGACTATCATCTGACACGTACATAGCATAGGCAGAGTCATAGACAATGATCGACCCATTTTCTTTGGCAAACTGTACGAGATTAGTTAGTTGCTCTCTGGAAGCAGCAGAGCCAGTTGGGTTATTGGGAGAACAGAAGAATATGATGTCTGTCCGCTTGACTTTGGATAAGTCGGGGAAGAAACCATTTTCGGGTGTACACCTCATATATTCAATATTTCCATACTTCTCTACATCTTTCTGAAACTGCCCAGTCTGACCCAGAATGACGCTCGAGTCCACGTAAGCCTATAACACAAGTTAAACACAATTTTAGGAAGGGCCATATAAAAGCTTATTTACCAAACATATTAACTCCCAATTACGATTATAAGCATAATATCCCTACCGGGTAAGATGGGTCCTGAACTGCCATTGTCACATTAGACCCGAAAAGAACCTGCCAAAGGCATAAACAATTTTTATAAAGAGTTTGCATGAGACATCCATCAGCAGCACATTATTAAGGAATAGGCTGAGATTGTGTAGATGGCTGAAAATACTAGCAAGCAAAAGTACAAGAAAATGAACCTGAAGGCGAGATATGTCACTTTTGGCACCATCGGACACAAATATATCGTCTTCCTCTATGCCAAGGTTTGCATAATAGGTTGAGGCAATGGCAGCTCTTAATTTCTGAGGAAAAGAGGGCATTTGTTACAGAGAGGAAACAAGGATTTACATCATTTTCTGAACTCCAGTCCAGATGAATGGGAAACATAAAAAACCAGAAAAAGAAAACACCAAAAATCACCAACCTTTTCACCT